CCTCCCACCCCCGCCCGCCCAGTCCTCCTATTGGGCCCCAGAACAAGGGACGCTTTCCCAGGCCTCGGGGTTTCTCCTTGTTTTGTTCTCCTCTCGAGTCTCTGGTCGGTTGGGCAGTGTAAGTGTGACTGGGGGTGAATGTTGAGGCCTTGTTTCCCGCCGGCCTATGGTAGGTTTTGTGAGGCTGTGGACGCCCCCACCCCGCATCCTTGTCGCTCTCCGCCCGCTGGTTGTGAAGTTGGGAGGCCAGACCCTGCGGAGGGTTGGGACTTTCCATGCAGCGGGAGCACTAGGCCTGGGCGGCCCTCGGCGCACCTCGCGGCCCAGGATGGGAAGGTTCACTCACACACTGCGTGGGCTGGGTTCATGGGGAAGGAGGCTGGTCCCCAACGCTCTCCTCTCTCGTGTCCCTGGGGAAAGGCGGGTTGCCCCAGTTACTGAAGGTCACCTCTGCACCTCCACTTCGTCTGACAGAAGGTCCTTTAGGACCATGGGTCGCCGCCAGTGGGAGGAACAGCCTGGGGACTGTGATATTGGGGGAGGGGGGCCGACGAGAGGCGGCGGCTGGGGCTGAGGCCATGGGTTGGGGACCCAGGAGTGAGTCTACAGTATTTTTTTGAAGTAATGTGTACTTTAAGTACTCAGGTTGCAGGTATTTTGTGCCTCATAGGAAGCTTTCTTTTCTGCTTGTTACGTGGCATCTGGGAAATGTCAGCACACTTTCTGATTGCCTTGTTCCTGATGCCGTGGGTCATATTTATCTTAATTCAATTTATGCTTCTCCTTGAATTCAGGGAAACTGGGAAGCTAATCAGCATGGCTGCTGCCTGCCAGTGGCTGAGCTAATTGATTTGAATCCCGGCCCAACGCTTTCTGCTGCCCATTTCTGTAAAAGCTTGTGATGCTTATGGAATTCTGGGAATATAGGGAATGTTACTTTTATTGAAAAAACACAAACTATCTCTATTAAGCCTTTGTGAGCTGGCTACTCCCTTTACTTGATTATTTTCTTCTTTGAATTTGACAAGTATAATGATACCTGTTGAGTCTCTGCTAGTGTCATATACTGTGCTTAAATTTATTATTGATTCCATAAAATTATGTGTAAGTCTTATCAGTGATGGGAACATACAAGGGAGTGAAGTATCTCTCTGTTTAGCCCAACAGGATTTAAATCACTTGACTTAAAGCCTGAGTTGTCTTCCCATTTTGATAATTGTAGTACTTGTTGCATTCTTACTATATATGCATTAGGCTTCTGCTAGAGATTTATATTTATCATTGACTCCTTAAAATTAGACATAAGTCTTTGTGTAAATGGTGAAATGGTACAAAGGAATCTGTTTCCTTAGCAAGTCTTAAAACCTGGGTTGTCTTTCCTGTTTATGGTTGTGGTGCTTGACCGAATCTTATTACATTCCAGTCTTGTAAAAAGGAGTTCTGTAGGTATGTCTCAGGCTCCTGTTACCTCACACTACCGCCATTGCCTTTTAGAATCTTTCCCTCATTCAGTTGGTCTGACATAACAATTGGCAGATTAATCTTTCCAAGCATCCTGCTGTCTTGTCAACACTCCTAAGATGTCTTTTGTCAACTCCCCTTGGCCTACCAGGTTAAGGACACACATTGAGCTTAACACTCAAGTCCCTCTGCCGTATGGTACCCACCAATTTCTTTTGCCAGCTCATCTTCTTTGACTCTTAATTGTACCCTACAGTTTAGCCAAATGGAATTATTGCTGTTTTGCAAATGAGCTTTGGTTCGTTCTGCTTCTTCCCCTCACTTCTCAAGCTGCAGTGCCCTATCCTTCATACATCACTGTCAGAATTCTAGCCTTCCTTTAAGGCTCATCTCGTATCTTAATTCTCTTAGTGCTCTGTTTTGAATTTCTATAATATCTTGTGTCTTAATTATAGCACTTAGAGCACCTTATTTTGTATGCTTGTCTTAGTCTAGATGGTAAGCTTTCTGAGATGAGGTTCTAATTGTGGCGTATACTCACATATTTGTCAAATCCGGGAGACCCTTCTTGTCCAGCCTTAACTAAAACACTGTTATTAGGTGTAATTTGGGACTGATGAATTTAAAACAAACCTGGAATAAAATTTGTCTTGCCAAATCATTAGGATATACCGACTTGTAGCTTTAGGATGTACAATTTAAGCCAAAGCAGGATGAGTGAGATTTGTGAATTTTACTTCCTGCCTCTGAAATAGTAACTGTCCCCAAAGAATAACATCCGAGTGTTAGTTTGTGGAAATAAACATTTTCTAAGTAGGTTGTTATGAAAGTATTTTTACATTTCTTCATTTCTCTTGGAAGGAGTCTAAAACTACCTACTTGGAAGACCTTCCACCTCTCCCTGAGTATGAGTTGCCTCCGTCCAAGTTAGGAGAGGAGGTAGATGATGTCTTTCTCATTCGAGCTCAAGGGTTACCGTGGTCGTGCACTGTGGAAGATGTGCTTAGCTTTTTCTCAGGTATGTTTTATGTATGTTTTAAATATGTTGATTTCATCTGAGTAAAAGCAGTCCCATAAAATCCAAGCTGGGCTTTGCTGTAGGCATCTTATCTGATGGGGATTCTCACTCTGGCTGGTTCCATATGCATGCCAAGTGACACCACTTGTACCATTTGTCATATATACCAGGTTTAAAAGACCTTGAATACAACAAAAAATTTAATGTTAAAGCTACATGGTTTAAAATCAGTTTTCTCTGAAGTTTTAATATGTACATATCAAAAAGTGAAAACCTGTTGGTAGAAATAAGTTAGAGTATTGGTTGAGTAGCTCTTTATGTAATACACAAAAATTTAATATGCAGATCACTTAGTAGCAAGTGATAGTGTTCCCTAAATAACATGTTTGGAAGACTTACGTATCTGTGGTTTTTAAGTTTCTGTATCTGACTGTGATTTTTAATTTCCCTCTTAAGAGGCTTTTTGAAGATGCTGCCTTAAATGTGAAATGATATAGCATTATATTAAGTACCTTAATGTGCATTGTGTGGATCAAGTGTTTTAAAAGCCACTTAAATCTTGCTCCCAGTTTAAGAGGTGTGCAGTATGGGGATGTGTTTCCCTGATAATGATAGGAAAGGAAAAAAATCTAATTATGTTGTAAAATTATTCTTATAGGATATATATTAGAGATCTTATCGTTATGATTGTAAGAGAAGATGACATGCATAAACCTAACCATATTTTTAATACCTTAAGTGATTTGAAACTGATTATAGAAGTGTTTGGAAGGAAATGTTACATTTTGCATCGAGCTTATTCTAATTTGTCATTTAATGGTCAGGAGATCGTAAGATTTTGTGCTAAGGTTGTTTATGTCTTCCACATGGAACGTTTTAGAAACCACCACCTCATTAGCATTCTGCTCGCTTCACTGATGGGAGTTTGTGTGAGGAAAGTGACAGGCATTTTGGAGCCTGCTTTGTTTTGCTGTTGGAAGATTGCAATTCTAGTGACTTGTATAATTGAGCTATTGATTTCTAGTTTTAATTCATTTAACTCACATACTTTCAGACTGCAGAATTCGCAATGGTGAGAATGGAATACATTTCCTCTTAAATAGAGATGGGAAACGAAGGGGTGATGCCTTAATTGAAATGGAGTCAGAGCAGGATGTGCAAAAAGCCTTAGAAAAACACCGCATGTACATGGGGCAGCGATACGTGGAAGGTACGTGACGTCATGTTCTAGCTCCTGGCGATTGTTACGGTAGACTGTGCTTCCCAAGGCACTTTCAGCTCGTCCTTAACAAGAGTGAAGTAGTTAGATATTATGAATACACCCGTTCCCAGGGTGTGAAAATGAAGCCCAGAGATAATTTCAGATTCTTACCTATAAAATGAGGAGGATGTTGACCAAATTTACCTCAGAAGTTGCGATGTTACACCTGGCACATAGTAAGTAATACTTGATAAATGTCATTTATTGTCTTCTCCAGAGAAGTACATAAAGATAAAAATAAATACTAGTTTTTGGATAACCCACCCAGTGTGATTATTTTTTTAATGGCTTCTTTCTTTATTGTGTAAGTTTTGCATACCTTTTATGCTCTTTTTCTTAGTATATGAGATAAACAATGAAGATGTGGATGCCTTAATGAAGAGCCTGCAGGTCAAATCTTCACCTGTGGTAAACGATGGCGTGGTTCGTTTGAGAGGACTTCCTTATAGTTGCAATGAGAAAGACATCGTAGACTTCTTTGCAGGTGTTTCCCAGTTATATCTTGTTTGGGGCCTCATATCTTTTCCCTCACATTGTTTCCTCCTTTTTTTTAGGTGAACCTCTTCCTAGGTAACTGCATACAGTTATATTAGGTGCTTTAGGGGGGAACTCTTAGGTTGGATTTTAAATGTTTGTAGATTTTATAAGTGTTTTGACCTTTCACACTGATCTTTGGGAGATGTCAGATTTAAAAATGATTTCATGTGGGTTCATTTTACTATTGAGGAAAATGTCCTCTCATAAGAGTGGTTATATTTGTCTAAGGCAATAGCAATTTATATGATTTAAAAGCATTATCATCTAATTCTTAGCTGTAAAATATGTACCAGTAGTGATAGTCTGAATCTTTTCCCTACTATATAATTAATGGCAAAACAGATGGACAGCTTGGACCCTAAACATTTTTGAATATGTAGATGTTATTAGCTTTTGGCTGCATAATAATTTTCTTCCCATTAGGCATGTATTCAGCTTTGGGGCTGGCAAAATAGTCCTACAATTTTACTAGTAAAATAAAAAAAATTCTTAGTATGTGAAAGAATGTTTTAATTCTAAGAATAAAGATGCCCTTGCTAGCAGAACTAATTTGTAATAATTTTTGGATGTCTTAGGACTGAATATAGTAGACATTACTTTTGTCATGGATTACAGAGGGAGAAGAAAAACAGGAGAAGCCTATGTGCAATTTGAAGAACCAGAGATGGCTAACCAAGCCCTGTTGAAACACAGGGAAGAAATTGGTAACCGGTAAGTGAAGCAGATACTAATGATGTGGAAGAATCATACTTTGGGTCATTTTGATGAATGCATTGTAATAAAACAGTAAGATTATCTAAACACAGAAAAAGAAGACAGTAGTATGATAAGCTGTCAAATGCCCATCACTTAGATTAACAAATTATTAACATTTGTTGTATTTGCTGCACCGGTTTTTCAGTATATATCTTTAAAAATCCTTTTTTAACACGATCCCAATATTATGACATTTAACAAAATTAGCAATGATTTATTGTCCAATACCAGCCCATAATCACACTTTCCCATTTATACCAAAATATCTTTTCCATTTGCTTTTTTTTGGCACCAGAATCTAGACATGGTCCACACATTGAGTTTGATTGTTATGCCTCTAGTCTCTTAAATTAGAGCAAATCCCCTTTTCCTTTATTTTTTTTATTACCTCCTGCTTTTTAAATGCAATTGACTTTTGAAGAAATTGGGTCAGGTGTCCTGTTCAGTGTCTCACGTTCTGTATTTATCCTGTTGCTTCCTCATGGTGTCATTTAACTTGTTCCTTTGTATCTGTTATTTCCTGAAAACTGGAAGTTAAAGCTAAAGTCTTGAATTGACTCAGGTTAACATTTTGATATGGATACTCTCTGGGCAATACTGTATACTGCATATCTCATCACATTAGGATGCATGTAGTGATGGGTCGGTTCATTTGTGTTTTAACTTTCATTTTCGAGGAGTACTTAGAAGTGTCAAATTTTAGTACATTGTTTTGCTGCTTTCTAGCCTTTTTACCTGGCTCCTTTGAAGTTTAAAACAAGCCATTTCAGGATCTACTTAATGGAATTAGTTCAGAGGTCTTTATTAAAATTTTTTGTTACTTAGTTATTTTTTATGAAATTTTTTTAAATGAAGAAAGTATATGTAAAGTACCCTCCCTTTAATTTTTTTTCAGTACTCTTCATATTTTCTTATAACTTGGAACACATCAATATTATGTTTTTATATGGGAACATTAAGGCAGTGTACAAATGTCTTCAATAAATTAAGAAATGATACCCTCTAATCTTTATAGATCTGTAAATAAAAATGATTTTTACAGTTCAAGCTTAATAACTAAATTTGGAAAAGCAGTGTTGTGAAAAAGAAAACTGGTTCCAGAAGCCTGGATTTAATCAATAGTTCCATAGTCAAACAGTAAGTCAGAATTGACATTTACATCATGAATTCTCATTAGCCTCTTAGTGCAGTCCTGAACTGGCTCCTCATATACGGTGACTTTTAATATCTTAAACAGTTATGATTAATTTTCACAGAATTGAATTGTAAGGCTTCAAGAGATTAATTAACTATTAGGAAAAAAACCTTTCTTACCAAATTAATTCTTTTCATACACGCAAATAACCTCTGCGTATTTGTCCTCATGAAGCAAAACAGGGTAGAAAGCAGAGGTAAAATGTATGTGAAGAAAACTGTTATCTTGGGGGTGGAGGTGATTAAACCAGTGACCTGTTCCGTTGAGAGTACTTCTTCATGGCCTAACATCTATATCCATTCTTTTTGCCCCACCGGTTTTCTTTGGATACCTGGGTATGTCAGGTGTTAGAAATATTGTATATGCATGTTTTAAAGAGTTCAGTGTAAAGTCACTTTGTACCATTGTGCCTGTTCGCTTTTGCTTTGACATAGATATATAGAGATATTTCCAAGCAGAAGAAATGAAGTTCGAACACATGTTGGCTCTCATAAGGGAAAGAAAATGGCATCTTCTCCTACTGCTAAGTATATAACTGAGCCAGAAATGGTCTTTGAAGAGCATGAAGTGAATGAGGATACCCGACCCATGACAGGTTTTGAAAGTGAGAAGGAAGTAGGTAAGGACATTCCTCTTATTGATCTGCTTTGCATGTTTTGATAGTTAATTTTTTTATGACCGTGTTGTATGAAATTATGAGATTATAGGACAAGGGAATTGAGTTAAATATTTAATATGTCTTTGAGTGTAGAATGTACTCTGAATACAGTTGCCTCTAAGTATCCCCAGGGAGTTGGTTCCAGGACCCACCATGGATACCAAAATCCATGAATGCTCAAATCCC